AAAGAACAATATATGAGAAATTAACCGTCAAAGTTTATGATTTCAGGCATTTCTCATGCAGAAAATATCTTTAAATCCTTAAAAAGTATTGTTTTAACATTGAAAATGGGGAAAATAACAGCATAGAATGATGTGTAGATATATAAAGGTTAGTTTAGTGCAATAAAATAGATTTTCAAAAATTTGACATTCCAGCATGTTTTAGCCATTTTCTCTGAAACAGGATTTGCGACGAGTGACTGGTTTGGCTGGTCTTTGCCACATATAGTGCCATCAGTGACTGACCTGACCTACTGTAAGAAGAAATGTCCTTTTCAAACCCAGTATAAAGAAGTTCATAATGAACATGGCAAATATACTGTAGTGTGTCTGTATTCCATGGTGAAATCAAATCTGTTTGAGAAAAAATAGGTTAGATATTGACACGCTATCGTTCAAATATAGCCTACCTCAAAAGACCAGGTACAATCCACGCCAGCAAACTTCTTCACACAACGACCAACTTCCACATCTTCATGAGTACTCCATAAATTTTTTAAGCAATAACTGATATGCGGGATCATTCTTCGAAGAGTTTCCCGGCTAAAGATCATTCCCGGACCTCCCATACAAAAATTTTCCCCTTGTTTAAGATTTAACAATCCTTCTTCTTCTTTACTACCTAATCCAGCTTGTCCCATAAAGAGGGTTTTACTGCTGTTGATTGATCGAAGAAATGTCTCCATTTTATCTCCACGGACATAAACATCATCATCAGCACGCATAAACCATTCATATTCATCAATATAATTATCATGAATATATTTAAGCATCATGAAAGATTTCTTCTGTGGTGGATACGAGTCGTCAACACTAGGCAACTTGACAACTGGTATATGTAAACTTTCATTAACTTTTGAAGTCCCGCTTGTGAAGCACATTACTTTTCCTGGTATCGTATTAGCCCAAGTCTTATGGACAGCTAAACATCTCGTTGATAAATATTTTTCGGCAGTCATAACGCCTACAAACAATAATTTACTAGTTGGAACGGGTTGTTCCCGTGAAGTCCTTTGGTGAAGATTTTCCTGTAAGCCTCCGTTCAACTCAGACTTGACATAATGTTTGCAGCCTACATCTTTCGGACTGCCTGGGGAAACACTTATTACACTGATTCGAAGCCACGTCGTCAGGCAAAAGCTCACGACTAGGCTTACAAGAATACTCCAAACTTCGCGGGAATATAATCTCGATCTCCGCATGGCCATATTGAAACTGATGTACCTACTTGCACGAATACAGCAGTGAATCTAACATCACATTGGTATTAAACACCGTCGCACATGTTGAATGATTGTAAATGAAATGTTACTACAGGATTCAAAAGGGCCACACTCCATCGTCTTGGAACAATGGTGACGATCGATAGTCACACTCAGCTAGCGCTTAGAAAAGTCAGGACGAATGGTTGGATGAGCTGCGCCTACGTCATAAACTCGATGCAGGAAACTTAGAAATACTTTCAATTGACCTACTTTCCACCAACAGTATCGTGATTTGTGAGCAGTAATAAATGAAGGATCTGGATAAAGACAATAATTAAATAATCAGGTTCAATGTATGATGTTGATATCTATATTGTGGGTTGTACCCACAAAATCAATCCTAATAACAAATAATAATGAATAAGTAGGCCTATATTTGTTATATCCATAGAAATGAAAGCGTCATTCCTGAAAATCCACTGTTATACCGTAAGTCTAATAACATAAAATCTATATAAGAATCTAAAATACTTCATTGTCATTGACCAAACAAGATGAAATTTGATTTGTTTTTCTTCAAATCTAAAAATGACAAACTTTGGTTAATTACGGAATATTAAAATATAAAGCATTAAAACTCAAAGT